GGGAAAGGGCAGCCGAGCACGGGGCCGGGGGCAGCAGCCCCGCGGCTGGTTGATCGCGCGACGGACGCAGGGCCGCCCGAGAACACGAGGACTTCGCCCCCTCGGGACGCGGGACCGTGGCAAGGGTGCGGATGCGACGCTGTGGGATGTAGACGTGGTCACAGCTCTGAAATGTGGGAGCGCGCGGTGCGGGTGTGCTGGTGGCGCGGCGCAGCCGAGAGGGAGGGGGGGGGTGGCCCAGCCCTGCTCCAGCGCCTCCAACCCCCCCCCCCAGGGCAGCAGAGGCTGCGGCAGCCCCCCCTGCCCCCCCCCCCTCCGCCCCCACCCCCCCCCCCCCAGGGCAGCAGAGGCTGCGGCAGCCCCCCCTCACCCTCTGCTGATGTAATGCAGATTCACAGGCAACTGCCCGGCTCCCATGAGCAACTGGGACTACAAGGGGCTCCCAGCTGCCTCCCAGCTGCCCAGGGGGAAGTGCCAGGCATGCCGGTGACACCGGAGATGGCTTCAGTGGGCACGGCCACCTCCCCGAGGGCAGGGACCCCTGGCACTGCCCTGTACAAAAAGTTGGCGCTGCTGAAGAGGAGCAAGTCACCCCAGGCCTGGGCACCAAGCAGAGAACGGGCTACGGTGTTCTTGTGGTTGGCAAGTGGAAAAGAGGGATAGTCGGGGAGAGGGATCTGCAAGAGGAGCAGGTCCACGGGTCTGGAAAAGCAGATCGGGATCTCAGGATGCTGCATTGAGTTACACATCCTGAGGTCCAGTTTTTTTGGTTAAAGACAAAAAAGGAGCTAAATTGATGCTCCTTTAGTTCACCTTGTGTTACCAAGTCTCTTGCCTGTGCTCAGGCCGGGGCTGAAAGCTCTGCCTGGACCCAGGACGGCCAGAAACTCGCTGGGGATGAGCCGACCAGCCCCGCTGCACCGCACTCGGGGGGGAGCGGCCGCCCCCGGCCACAGGTGCCGGGGCTGTGCCGGTGGCAAGGGGCACGACCAGCCCCGCTGCACCGCACTGGGGGGCAGAGCCGGCGCTCCCGGCCTCGCTCTCTGCTCAGGGCCCAGCAGATCCTGCATTATATCAGCTGTGCCGGTGGCAAGGGGCACGACCAGCCCCGCTGCACCGCACTGGGGGGCAGAGCCGGCGCTCCCGGCCTCGCTCTCTGCTCAGGGCCCAGCAGATCCTGCATTATATCACGGGCTTTTTTTTTTTTTTTTTTTTTTTTTTTTTTTTTTTTTTTTTTTTT